GCACCGCTTTCGTCAGTTTGATAATATGCAAGCATTTTCAGCTCATCAAGAAGTTGCTCGCGATCATCATCTTCATATTTTTCACATTCCGCATGCAGTGTCAAATAATGTCGCCTTATATTAAAAGTACGATTGCAATTAATCCTAATAGCACATAACAAGCATTGGGTATTATTGGCATTTCTTAAAACTTAAAACTTTAATTGACACTCATACTCAGACATTTTGGGCATTGTTACATATATAGGTGGAAACCACGTCTAAAATTACGAATACAAATATTCAACCGCGAAGCGTGGTGTCACTTTCGTAAAATCTGAAAGCGAGTAGCGTTTTGACCGTCTATGATTTAATTCTTCTTAGGAGAAAGGTGTGGGCTTTGTTGACGCTAATCCTCAGAAATCATCATCATTGCTCTCTTCGTTGAAGATTTCTTTGAAAGATAAGTCACGGAGCCAAATGATGGAATAGGCACTTACTTAGGAAGGTTCTTCTATCAGATTCTAAGGCGGAATAATTTTTTTTTTTAGTTGACGCCAAGAAAATTAAAACAGTAGAGAGACAATCATCAAAGTGATGTTTCTGTTTTTTCCATTGCGTGGGCGCTCCGAACATCATACGGATTTTTTTGACCACCAACTCACTCAAGTATTCACAGCAAAGTTTACAAATAATTTCAAGTATTGCATAAAGCTTGTATTCACCCGAAATTCTTGATTTGAAGAAAGAAAAACCAAGGTGAAATTATACCAAGTGAAATAATAAGGACGAGCAAAAAAATTTACATTGGCTTGACACTATCTTATTTGAAAATTTACCTTTAAAATTGTGTATAAGAAAGCCGAATGACAGATCATAAAGCTAGAAAGCTCACCTGTTCATTGCACGATGAGGAAATATAATACTTTTTTATCTCTTATAGATAGATAAGGCATTGTGTAAGGCTTTGTATTGTATTGTATTCACCCAAAATTTTGGATTTGAAGTAGGAAAAATCATAGTGAAATTATACCAAGTGAAATAATGGCTGAATTTCTTTATTCATTCTGAACGTTTGGAATAAACTTTTTTGTTTACTTATTCTTTAGAACGTTCCTGATGATATGTTAACGTATATTTCAAACGCATTCTGTTTATTCCGGCTGTGAAATGGGATTATCCGGAATGTATAAAGAAACGCAGCCAATAAGAGCGAGCAACAAATTTACATTGACTTGACACTAACTTATTTGAAAATTTGCCTTTAAAATTGTGTATAAAACAGCCGAATGATAGATCATAAACCGAAAAAGCTGTTTTATTACTTCACCTGTTTATTGCGCCATGAGGAAATATAAGACTAACACAGTTTTCAAAGACCTTGGTAAAGGTTTTTGTCCCTATATCACGAATGGCTTACTCAATATTCGCCTTAAAGACCTAAACCATTAATGGTTTAATCGCACAACATCGGTCCTTCACGGCACCTCTACACTGAGTGAAAAAAATATTAAAATCAATCTGAAACGTAGTTGATCTTACTATAAACATCAACGAAAGTACTTTATATTGGTAAATATTCAATTCAATTACGCGCATATTGAAATGGCCGCGTTCGTTTTGAAAAAGAATCCATGAAGTGAATAATCAAGATAAAAACAAAAAAATATATATATTTAATTTACATGTTGCCCGCAGTGGAATTCAAACCCTGACCCTCTCTGGATATCAACAAATTGTGGCAATCATCTTTGCGCAGTCAGCTACACGCAGACATATAAATGTGCTTTGAAATGTTGATAGGGATGAAACGATACAGTTTTTTCTTGGGCCAATGCACATTAGGTCAAATGAGTACTTTTTCTGTGCGAAATTAATAGCAGCTAAAATACTGCATTATTTTAATGTAAAAAGATGGCAAACGTTGAAACAAGTGTAAAGGCAGTAAATAAAATGTTAAACAGACTTGGCTTTCATAAAACAGACATTCCTGCTTTTTTGTATGTTCAAATGATGAGTATATCGTCGCTTAAAGTACAAAACCGCGTATCGTCATTCTGCAAAACCGCGTAACTGACATTGGCTGCCAAAAATTGGATTTGCTCACACAAGCTCTTGGCTCAATCCTTATCCATTCGTCCTGAAATATACTAGCTAGAAATGCGATTGATTTATAAAAAAGAGAACCATTTTGAAATATGAGTGTTTTTACGCTCTAGAAAATAATTTCTACAACTTCACATACGCGGTTTTGCATTTTGCTGATACGCGGTTTTGCATTTTGTTGATACGCGGTTTTGCACTTTAAACGACGATATGTGTTTAGGTAGTACTCAAAAACATTATCCAATTAGCTTGGTTTTCACACAAGTTATTTTCTTACCATACTCAACTCGCTCCCCTTTAAAATGAGCTACATAATAAAATAAGTATGGTGACATGGTTTATTCTAGCGATTAGTTATGGCATTATCAAAATTCCTAAATTAAAAAAAGAAAAATATTTACTACATGTCTCGCAGATATGTCTTGAGGAGAGATTCCTAAAGCAGTTAGTCTTCATAAAACACTTCATTTTCACTTGAGGTTTCAGTATTTCCAAATTCTCCACCGATATTATTTATATTCAGAAAACAAATGCTGCTTTGTGACACATTTACCAAAAATCGCTGGTAACTTCCTGAAAAGAATACGAATGTTTTTGAAACTAATTTGTTAAAAGAATGTTTAAAGCTCTATTCACTTTGATTAAAAAAAATTCGAAATTTCAGTCCGTAAATTCTCTCAAGGATTTGCCTTTTTGCGAAGCCTGCTCATCAATGGTCTTTGCGAATCGGTGCTAGTGTATTTATAACATAGCCTCGGCTACGCTACAGGACATGAAATGTACTCCAAATTGAGGCTGATATTTTTTTTTTTGCTATCACATACTTCCATTTTCACTATTTATCACCATTAAAATATATTATTTATCACCAAAAAATGTTGGAGATATTTTTGGAGATAGCTAAAAATACGGAAAAAGGTTAGCTATCGTATTTTAGCACTTTAGCGATAGCGAAAGTTAGAATCCGGCTAATGGTCGACACAGTTGGCTTTTTGATTTCGAAAAGAACCTCATCAGCAAGAAACGCTATGTTTTCAGATCTAAATATTTTAGCATCCTTTCCAAATTGTTTCCCATAATTTTCATATTTATTTGAAAAATAATTGCAAAAAATACGCGTTTTTTCTTCTAGGAGTTTCATGGAACTTTCGCAAATATCAGCAGCACCAAATTTTTTTTCAACATGGTTGACAACCGAAAAGGCTTTTCTTTTTTCGAACATTCAATCAGCCAAACTTCAAACAACTTGCCTTTTGTGATAGCATGATAGCCCAGAAAAAACAGTTTTTCTTGAAAACGGCTAAAATCGGCAAGTTAAGTAAAACAAATTCAACTCATTACATCTTAGTTTATCCATTTCCGATTCCATTTTGTTTGCCGAAAGTTAACAAAATTGTAAAAGCTTACATAAAATCATAAATGGAAATAAATCAGAAAATTTTTGAGGTTATGCAAATAAGTCAGTTTTTTTGCAAACAAATGATAAAAAGTCACTTTTTTAAATTGGGACATAGGTTCTCACTTAGATATAGTTTTGTTTCCCATTTAAAATTTTCCTTTAGTTATTCGAACTTTACAAAAACAATGCACTTGAAATTTACAAAATAAACCGGCTGCGCAAACAACGTATCAATAATGTTTTGAAAGTGTAACTTTGGTTTATTGCTGTATAACGGTGTTTTTTATTTTACAAAAACTAAATGAAGTTTCTGTTATTTTGGAGTATTCCCTACAGAATGGCAACAAAAAATAATGTAAAACTGCCTTTACGAAATTGGACTTTCGCAC